AAACACAAAGAGCACACACTTGGTCCTTTTTCACCCTTGCAGGTCATAACTTTATTAAACTCTGGTGAGTACACAATACACAGCTTGGTCTGGCCACATGTGCATTTAGCATCACACACTTACACACTTGTGTGGAACATGAACTCAAAACAAAAGTTCCTATTGCTAGATCCAGTACCTGCTCAAAATCCTAGATCCTCAAGGAGTACTGTTTTTCCCATAATTATTACAGCTTTTCTCGTAATTATGAGATCAGGATCTCATAATTATGACATCTTTTCTCTTAACTATGAGATCTTATCTTGTAATTATCTTCAAATTCAGTAGAAGCCTGTTTTTCATCCATTAATGCAAACCAGGTGTGTTTGAGCAGGGTAACAGGAAAACATGCTGGATAGTGACCCTCAAGAACTGGAGTTTGACACCTGAGCTCTAGAGCAATGGAAATGTATACTTTAGTTGACTAATCACACTTTTCAGTCTGGCAGTCTGACCAATGAGTCTGGATTAGATGGTTACCAGGAGAACTGTACTTGTCTGATTGCATTGTGCCAATTGTAAAGTTTTGTGGAGGGGGGATTATGATGTGGAGTTGTTTTTAATGGAGTTGGGCTAGTCTGCTTTGTTCTAGTAATAGGAACTCCTAATGCTTCAGCACGCAAGATATTTTGGAGAATTTCATACTCCCAATGTTGTTTGGGATGGCACCAGTGTACAAAGCATGGTCCATAAAGACATGGAAGAAGTTTGGTGTGGACAAACTTGACAAGCCTGCACAGAGGTCTAACCTCAACCCAACAAAACACCTTTGAAATAAAAAACTGCGAGTCAGGCCTTCTCGTCCAACATCAGTGTGACCTCACATACTGTATGTGCTTCTGGAAGAGTGGTCAAAAATGTAGATTAGCTTTGTAGAGAAACAGACCATTTTGTAGTTTTTTGAGCACATGGGCAGAGCTCAAAATACAGATTTATAGCTTTGGTCCGTCCATCCATCCATTTTGTTTCGCTTATCCGGGGTCAGGTCTCGAGGACAGCAGCCTAAGCAGAGAGACCCAGACTTCCCTCTCCCCAGCCACTTGGGCCAGCTCGTCCGGAGGAATCCCAAGGCATTTGGCGTTTCCAGGCCAGCCGAGAAACATAGTCCCTCCAGCGTGTCCTGGGTCTTCCTCTGAATCTCCTCCCAATGGGACGTGACCGGAACACCGCACCAGGGAGGCGTCCAGGAGGCATCCTAACCAGATGGCCGAGCCACCTCAACTGGCTCCTCTBGACGTGGAGGAGCAGCGGCTCTACTCTGAGT